CATTGTCGACTACGACGGATACAGGTAAGAGAGCTCGAAAAAAAAAAAAAAAAAAAAACAACACAAAAAACAATGACCCAAAGAGAAAGGAAAGGAAAATAAACACGAAACTCGTTCGCCTTTCAGACTTCACGGCGGCGACAACGTGCAGATCAAGAGGTACTTTGTGTCGTTCTGGAACGGCGTGGACCTGCGGTACAAACTGCTAAAGGGACCCAGGATACGGATAAGTATCGCGGGCATCATCATCTCCAGGGTGAGTGCAGTCACACGCTCTAGCGTCACTTAAACCAGATAAGTACACCACTGTTGTTCGGTTTTGAAACTGATTATTGAGGGGGAAAAAAACAAACTCTGATTACAAAATCATACAAAAGCAAGTTTTAATATTGATTTTAGAATGTAAGTACAGCAGCAATTGCCAAATTAAAAATAATCACAGTTTCAGAAACATTAAATGCATTAGTGAAAAATAAATACATACAGGTACTATACCAGACATTGAGAAAAACATAAAAATCACGTAAATATCTCTGACAAAATCATTAGAGAGGCATTAAATGCAATTTAAGACGATTACAGGTGAAACATTTTGAAAATAAGCACCCGTTGCTACAGCTTGTATCCAGCTTCTTCATCCGTGACGATGCCGATTTCCTCGATAAGTTCCTTCTTGCTTTTCGGGTGGTTTTCCAGAACTTGCTCTAAGACGTCCATGCACATCCGCTTGCGCTTCCTGTATTCGCGAAGCATCGTCTCGTGCAAACGATCGACTTTCTTTCGATCCTCAGGGTTGACCTAAGAACGGGTTCGAAAACAAATGAGAAAAGAAACAGAAGGCATGTAGCTTCGAAGATAAAGATACGCCTTGACGAAAATCTTCCGCCCCGCACGGCTAGCTTACCTTGACGCAGGTGTCTGTGAGGTCCGCCAGCTTGGCGCGGAGCCGCTGCACGCGCAACTCCAGGGCGGCCACCTCGCTCTCGGCCTCGTCGGTGGTCGGCGCACCCAGGAGGCTCTTGAGCTCGGCCTCGGCTTCACGCACCTGCAAACAGAGGAGCGTGAGAATCGCTCGCAGAGCTCACCTCCGTCTGCCATGCGCTCGGCCATGCGCCATGCGCAGCCGAGGCAGGGACAGCCGGGAGTCGAACCCACGGACCTGCTGCTCCACGGCGCGGAGGTTCTGGGTGGCGCTGGCGACGCTCGCGCTCAGCTCCTGCAGCTCGCGGGCCGCCTCCTCCTTGGAGGCGCCGCCGGACTCGTTCTGCAGCGCGCAGTACACCTTCTGCTTGCCGTTCTCCTTCTCGATGATGCGGCCCTGCGCCGCCAGGTGCTCGAGCGCCTTCTGGACGGCGCCCTTGCTGTGCGCGTTCAGCAGGTTCTGCGTCACGTCCGTGGCGCTGTAGGGCCTGTTCTGGCCCACCAGGTACTCGAGCACGGCCTCGTTGACGCCCATGGCGGCGGGGTCGTGTGGGGTGCGAGTCGTTGTCGATGGGCGGGCGACGGGGTCGAGGGTGCACAACTAGGTGCTGCTAACTTTGTTGGGTGACGGGCACGCTGCTTCTGGGCGGGGTGTCGATGTCGAATCCAGGAATACCAGAGGGTCAGTCTCGGGCTCGAGTGGTGTCGAACAGCGCTTAGGCAGATCCTGAAACAGAGGCGACGGGTTGGATATGAAAACTCCACGTCTGTTCTCGTCTTCCAGAGACACCCTCGCGTTGACAACACGTTTGCTTCCAGGGGCGCGACGCGACGCCGTACCTGGAGAGGAACCGAGTGGGTAGAGACGCCATCGACTCTGCGGCAGCGCTCACCGACATGGGGAAGTACCTCTTCCGAGAGCGGCGCCTCCCCGTCTACGACATTGCCGTCGCCGTCACCAAGTAAGGCCTCGGATTTGCACAAGAAGTGCACAAAGTTCGCAAAATAGTGTCGAGAGTATAGAGGGTTGACGGCAACGAATCGAAGTATCTCTTTTGCACAGAGTTGTCTAACTAAATGCCGCACGCGTTGTGAACCTAAAATTAATCTGATACACTTTTTAAAGACATATTTTAGTCAAAAACAGAAAAAGGAAATGTTTTTCTTTTTTTCTGGTAAGCGGGTAGTTTGCTCGCTTTGTAATCCAAAACTGTTCGGTTTTAAAATGAATTGTCGGCGACCATCTGTTTTTGAAGCTACTGAGTGGTGTGTTCGTGTCCGTCATGATATGTGCTCGACAGGTATGACATGTGCCGCCGGCGCAAAGGAGGCCGCTGCACCAAGGGCACCGCTGGTAGGTCGAGCTTGGCCAAGGCTGTAGCCAAGGCCTGGCCAGGACCAGATCTAACAACTCTCTGCATCCAGAATGGGGATGGGATTCGGGATGTTGAAAAGGGGTTCTCTCTAACAGTTTGGTCGGCGGTCGGTGCATCGGGCTGCATTGTATATATATACATTATATCTATGAAAGATCTTTGCAAAACTCGGCCTAAGATGCCATAAAATCCAGGGTGTGCTTTTCTCCCTTCTCTGCAAATTTTCAAAGTAGATGCATATTACCAGCTGGGTTTTGCAAAGGCTGTAGTGTAGAAATACATACCTCCTGGATTTTAATTGTTAGTAAAAAAATGAACAAACAAAATTAAATGCAAGAAGAAGGTTTTTTTAATCTGATCCACTTAAAAATAATTCTCTAAACGTAAAATGCCTTCATCTTCTTAAAAAAATTGGAAAATGTATTGCAGTTTTGTTTTCAATGCTATAGCATGGAAGAATGTGGTCTGTTTATTTTGTACATAAGGAGTCCATTATGACAATTAACCGTCTATAACATGGTGTTATGAAATTGTGTGAAGGTGTGCCCATGGGTTCAGCTCGGCTCACATCTGGTTGTGGGAAAGAGAGAAACGGGATGGTGCTCCAGTGGTATGCTTGTGTGATTTCAGATTAGATATGTGCAGAAGACAATATCCAAATGACGCCTGCAACAGAGGCACCGCAGGTGGGTATTTACATTAAGACCGCCCAAAAAGGCAGAGCAAAGTTTTACATGATGAAATGCAGATCTGCAAATTGTTTTCTGGAACAGAAAATATACATCAAGTTACTGCAAACTTTGCTCTACCTTACTAAAATATTCAGCAGACATTTCACCAGCAGTCGCCCCATTTCATGTTCTTTTCAGCTGTGTGTGTTGCTTCTTGTCACCTCACAGATAAAAATTTCAAAGAAACAGTACTTGACATGTCTATCATCAATCTGCCAAACAGCACTTAACTGCCTTTCGACAGCTTTGCCTTGCTAAACTTTCAAACTTTGACTATCAGTATAAGTCTTACTTTCCTTTCAATACTCCATGGATGACACCCAACTCTTAAGCTAAAGAAATATGACTAAAGTAGTAACACAAACATAAAATTAGTGTCTCTAAACCTAAGGACAGCACCAGCAAAAGGTAAGCCAAACTGTTATATAGTCTCCTAATACTTATTAAAATGAAGGAGAAAAATGTATGACAAATAGAGCATGAAGGGCAGTATGCATCTACTAACAAAATGCATCTTGACAAATGGTCAGCTAACAGAGTAGTTGATTTCTGACTTTCCACTAACAATGGGAAAGGAATGTTGACATCTTTGCTGTAACAAATGGGCTATTCTCAAAATCTGTCTTAACTAACCAATAACAGGTTTTCTGTACAAATTCCTAAAAATTCCTATTCGGCATAAAAGCTTGCAAAAATTTAGATTTTATATCATGCTTATTGCATATTCATTAAAGCTCACAAAAGCTGGTGTTAATTTAATACATCTAAATACAATAAGAGGTTTGATGAAATTTCATCTCTTTTAATCCGCAAAATCCATTTTATTTTCATTAAAAATAAACTTTTAATTTTTTTTTAAAGGAGATTTCTACTTTTTTTTAAAAAAAAATATTTAAGAAAATTCTGTATACATTTTCAGGTTTTGCATACGTAGGAGGAGCTTGTGTAGTCAACAAACGTCTGGAGAAGGTCAACAGTGTAGCTATAATTGAAGACACTGGCGGGTTCTCTGGCATCATAGTTGCAGCACACGAAGTGGGACATCTGTGAGTACAATTGTGTCAAATGAACTGTACTAACAAAAATATGTTTCTGATATATTTATCACTTTTACTTTGCAGTTTGGGGGCAGTTCATGATGGTTCTCCACCTCCAAGTTACCTTGGAGGTCCAGGGGCAGAGAAATGCCGTTGGGAAGATGGTTATATCATGAGTGATTTACGTCACACAGAAAAGGGTTTCAAATGGTCCCCCTGTACTGTCTCTTCTTTCCATCACTTCCTTAAGTAAGGCAACATTTCCCAGCTGAATTAACTCTAAAGTACATATAGGCTTTGAACATTATGAAAGAATGTTACCATAAACAATTATTGTGTTTTAATTTTTTTAGTGGAGACACAGCTACATGTTTGTACAACTCTCCTCATGAAGATGAATCACTGCCAAGGGTTTTGCCTGGCAAATTGTTGACATTGGATGCTCAGTGCCGTAAAGACAGAGGAACAAGTGCATGCTTTGTAAGTCTTGCCTTTTCTTTCCCTTGTTTTCATTTCAATAAACTTGTACTAATAAATCCTAATCTTGAATGCATAACAGAAAGATGATAGAGTGTGTGCCCAGCTCTTCTGCTTTGATTCTGGTTCAGGTTATTGTGTAGCCTACAGACCTGCAGCAGAAGGCTCTCCTTGTGGGGATGGACAGGTATACGAAAATCTAATGCAGGCGTATATTAAAAATAAATATTGATGAGCTATTTTCTTATATTTAACAAATCTTTTGCAGTATTGTATGAACGGTAAATGTGTGGTGGAGCATGAGAACATAATTCCTGACTATTCTCAAAATGCACCTGCTTTTCTAAGAAGAATCGATGATGATGGAT